ATTAATACTGTATCCATCTTGCTCTTAACGCTTTGTAAACATTCCAGCTTAGTTCTTCAAGAATGACAGCAATCTGAAAAGTTGTAAGTTATTTTTCTCCTTAGAGAAATTAATTAGTATGCTCACGAAACATTAAAATCAAATTTGAAATAAATGCAGCACTTCCTCTCCTTCTGAAAGGAGGGGAAAAATCAAATCAAATATTTCACTACATCATATATAATATCAGAACATTTTTCCTACTTCAGTTTCATCTAACTATAACTACTGCACATAGCAATAAACGTCATTTACAACGTCGCCATGCTCATTTATCGCATTAAACTCGACCATTCATCAATGTCTTTTTGTTACGTCCTGGAGGAGGAGCGCAACGTATACTCGCGCTTACGAGTCCCGCACGTACTTGCGTATGCGCGATACTGGACCAGAGGGGTCCGTTTACTCCGATCGCAACATACGGCGGGTGTCCACTTTTAGGTCAGAGAACTAAATCTCTTTACCTAGGATTGGACCGCGAGTTGATACTTGGAATTGGTGTATGAATTGGAAAAGAAGGAACGTGATTTAAATTATAAAATAAAATTAATATAAATTATAAAAAAATTGACGGCGCATTTTATTGAGGTAGATCTAAGAGCAAATTTAAAATAGCTTTAACAAATATTGTCAACACGAGATTTTGTACAATATATTTGTACAATTTTGTACAATAATTTCGCGTAGTTAATATAAAATTACATGTTTCCAACGATGGACAGTAGCGTGTATATTATGGTTGTGCGCAAATACTTTGAAGGAAGGAAAAGGAAAAGGAAAACGAATAATATCTAATCTGGTGATGAAGAACGAGGACGATCCGGTGAATTGAGGGGAGTGCAAAGTTGAGAGAGAAAGACAGGAGAATAAGATATAGGAAAAGTAAGTGAACTAGTGGCAGAGCGTGGAGGAGTACTTGGGGAATGATTTAAAGGGTATGGGAAGATACATGATGGAATGAATGGGAGTGATGGGTCTGGGTGATAATTGGTTTCTAAAGCGATATTAACCCTTTGCGGTCGAGTGTCGACAAATAGCCGTCCAAGCCTTTTTACCGTTGCGGACGCGTGTCGGCATATAGCCGCCTAATTGAGTTTACAGCTGCGGGGGCGTATTATGAAGCGTACGTATATCTTTCTGAACGATAACATACGCATGGGTATAGTAGACTAAAGAGTCAAGTTTCCTTTGAAAGAAATTTAAGACCGACGCTCGCTCGTCGGGCGGCTCCGACCGCAAAGGGTTAATTATTGCCCAAAGATATTGGACAATTGACTGGAGATTATGGAGGTCGTGTGGTTCAAAAATCGACTCTAGCGCGTCGAGAACTTGGTTGATTGTTAAGTAGGACTTGACACGATAGCCCACTGCAACAAATTTCGAGATAAAAAAGGATGCAAATGAAGGAGTTCGATTTATGATAGAGAAACAATAATGTGAGTAACTTACTGTTCCCTGAAGATTGAATCTGCCTGATTGAAAGAGAAACGGCAAAGCCCTGGATAGGGGAATTGGTCCAATCTGCCTCTTATGCAGGAGGTTGACCTTTTACCCTAGTGTCAGTGGGGCTGAGTTTCGAGTGTTTAACTGCACTTGTTTTAAATCGCAAATATGAAGAGTAAAATCCAAGACTGAAAAGTTGTGAGAAGTTTTCGGTTTGTCGAAAAATGAGTGAAGGTTTTTATGTTTTAAGTAAGAGAAGGTTTCGATTTTTTAGCTCGCGAGACTGTCGAGAAGTGAAGTAAACTTTTGGCTTTACTCAAATCGTCAGCTCGGTTGAGAGAGTGGGGTTTCAGGAGTTGCTTCGGAAATTTAATTTTTATGCCCAAATCATAGGTCATAGGACTGTGCTTCGAACATTCTTTTTTTTAGGTGGGGTTTAAGAGTATGCTGCAGTATCTCGAAGATATTTATTGCAGGAGATAAAATATATTAGGTGTACAAATGAATAATCCAATCTTTTCAGCTACATTCAAGGTGTATTTTAAAAGAAAGTAAATTAAATTGTTCAATCAAAGTATTCGCCGTTGCTTTCTATAACTTTAAGCCATCTTTCAGGCAGCTGATGAATTCCATCTCGGAAAAATCTTACGCCCCTCTAGCGCCCGGGGGCAGCCAAAATATGGCGTCGACCCCGGGGCTTATTTCTATTATTTGCACCGGATAAGGAGGGGCAACGGTGGAGGCCGGCATACATGGACAGCAGGTCTTAAAAGGATAGCAACCTTTGACTTTGAGAGACTGTCAGCTTGTACCACCAGGTACAAGTAACAATGCCTCTCTCTGTAGTCGCCGTGCGCTCGGGATAGCACTAGAGATGTCGCTTCCGAACGACATCTCTCAACGTTATCTGGGGAGGGGAGCGTGGAGCGTCAGATAGCTCAGTGGTCTAGAGCAGTCGCCCGGCAAGCGAAAGACCCGGGTTCGATTCCCGATCTAGCGACTACCGCGCTCTCGATATTTTTCTCTCCTCGGAACAAAAAATGAGATGCAGGTCCCGAACGCACGGCGTCCCGTCGCCACCTAGTACGCCCTCCTTCTTTCATGGTACGCCTTTGGATACGATAAAGTCGTCAAGCCATTTTCGGAACTCATCCACTGGATTAGAAGTGCATATCAGACAAGGCGTGTTGCATCGACCGGAACAAGTGATAATCGGATGGAGCAATATCTGGTGAATACGCTGGGTGCTGCAAGACGTCCCAGCCAAGACTCATTATGGTGTCTTTTGTATTGGAAGTAATGTGTGGCCTGGCGTTGTCATGCAACAATTTCACTGGACGTTCTCCTTTGTCAGTATACGGGCGTTTTTGTTCCAATTCTCGACTCAAACAGATTAATTGACGTTGGTAACAGTCCGCAGTAACTGTTTCACCCGGTTCCAACAACTCATAATAAAGCACGCGCTTGATATCCCACCAAATGCAGAGAAGAACCTTCTTTCCGAAGCGATTGGGTTTTGCGACCGATTTTGATGATTCGCTGGGATTTACCCATGACTTTCTGCGTTTCGGATTGTCATAGAGTATCCATTTCTCATCGCCCGTAACGATTTTCCACAAGAAAGACTTTCGACGCTGCTTATTGAGAAGAGAAAGATACGCTGCCACTCGTTGATTTTTGTTAGTTTCAGTGAGTTCATGCGGAACCCATTTTCTTTCTTTCTGGACCTTTCCCATCTCATGTAGGCGTTTGGAAATCGTTTGCTGCGTTACTCCCAACTGTTCTGCAAGCTCATTTTGTGTTTGTGCCGAATTCTCAGCGAGCAGTTGTTCCAAATCATCATTATCGCACTTCGGAGGGCCTCCAGGGCATTGTTTGTCGATTAGACTGAAATTACCGCTTTTAAACCGCTTAAACCAAAATGCGCACACATCATACGATACAACACCTTCGCCGAGAAAGGGACAAATCGATTCGCACGCTCTTGCAGCATTTTTTCCTTGTTGGAATTCGTAAAGAATGCAATGTCGAATATGCACCTTATCTGTTGCCATTTTCGACTATACTGAACTGAATACTTTTGAAGGTTATGTTGGGCCTTTCGCCAAACTATATGTTCTTTTTAATAGCTATATGTCAACATTGCATAATCACAAAAGAGCGGGAAAGTCTATTCAATTTAAAATTGATTTCATAACTGCTTGAAATAATTTGGATTATTCATTTGTACACCTAATACATTAGACACTCTACAGGGTAGTCCATTTTAATCGACAATCGGAAATATTTCGTCAGGTAAGCCAGATCACGAAAAATAAAAGTTTCAAACAAAATTTGTAGGGTTCAGAGGGAGACATCTGATGGTGACCTTGGCTTGTGTTGACCTTTGATTGTCGTCTGAAGGTCACGTAAATGTCAATTTTAAAATCTTAAATGGAACCCCCATTTTTTATTTTGCATATTCTTGTAGTCTTTGTCGAGACGTTTTCAAAACATTACCTACCTTTGTCTTTTGCGTAAGCCATTCGCAAGATATGAAGCTTCAATGTTGACATACCGCCGGCATTCGCATTACCCGATGTACACAGCGCAGCAGGTTACTCGGTCGGATTTGTACTTCATAGTTTACTTTCCTTCGGGAATCACCTCGATGCTACTTTCCCTCACTGATGGATAGGTCAAGATGGTCTAATTTGGTGCTCACCAAGATCATCCGATCTTACTCCTCCGGATTTTTATCTGTGGGGATTTTTGAAATACGCAGTGTTTCATCAACCGCCAACGATGCGGCAGGATATGATGGATAACATCAGAAATGCATGCCGAGCGATTCCAGCAAACGTTCTTCTGAAACTCGTCAAAAATTTCGAAAAACGAGTTCAAATGTGCCGAACTGTCGATGATGACGTTTTCGAACATCTGTGATGAATGAGCCCTCCCCCTTCACACATACATATACACATACACACACACATAATCGGCCCCTTTTAAGACCATTATGATGTACAAATCCGACCGAGCAACCTCCCCGCGGTGTATATCGGGTAATACAAATACCGACCGTATGTCAACTTTGAATCTTCATATCTTAGGAATGACTTATGTAAAAGATAAAAGTAGGTGTTTTGAAAACGTCTCGACAAGGGCTACAAGAATATGTAATAAAAAATTGAGAGTTCTATTTAGAATTTTAAGGTTGACCTTTACGTGATCTTCAAACGACAATCTAAGGTCAAGCCAAGGTCATCGTTAGATGTCCCCCTCTGAACCCTACAACTTTTGTTTGAAACATTTTTCGCGATCTGGCTTACCTGACGAAATGTTTCCCGATTGTCGATTAAAATGGACCACTTTGTATATCAGATATGCTATTATTCTCATTTCATAAATTGACATATATTATAGAAAAAAATATTTACGATTTGTTACAAACATTTTTAATAAAACAGTATTTTTAATAAAACAATAACTATAACATGTGGTTAAACGAAGGTGTTAATAAAAATAATTTTTTTTAGGTATTGCTGCTCAAGAAGGGCACGAGCACTGTGTTCGAGCACTTTTGAACCATGGAGCCGACCCAGATCATTCCGATCACTGTGGACGGAATGCTATTAAAGTAGCCACTAAAAGCGGGCATAATATGGTCGTCAAATTATTGGAAGAACATTCTGCTAATCAACGCATTATGAAGGCTGGCATCAATGGAGGTCAGTTAACATTTTTGGTTCGTTTTATAATTAACCAGTTTAAAAATAAATAGTTATCACTTTATCTTCTTTTAACCATATAACAAAAAAATCATATACAGGGTGTCCGGAATGTGATCATTAATATTTTGTGTACTGGTAGATTGGGTGTAGCCAAGAAGAAAAGTCATGTACCATAATGTCAAATTGGCAATAGTTATCGAGTTATTAATTGAAACATGTGAGCCAATGAGCGCGTAGAGAGCGCTGGGCGGCCGCCGCTTGTCGCTTGCGCTCGCTTGCTCGTCGTTCGCGCGCGCACGCCTCTTGTCGCGTGTGGTAAGCCATCTTCTTATACACAGAGCCCGTCCTGTCGCTTTCTCGTGCGCTCATTCGTTTACATATTTTAATTAATTACGGAAAAAATATTGAAAAATTGTAAAATGGCACAAGATTTTTTAATTGTTTTAACGAGTTCTACCAGGACACAAAGTATTAATGATCACATTCCGGACACACTGTATATATATGATATATACAGGGTATTTGATAGCTGATCATGCAGACGAAAGTTGGAGATAGATTGGGTATAGCCGAGAAGAAAAGTCATGTACCATAATGTCAAATTGCCAATAGTTATCGAGTTATTAATTAAAACATGTGAGCTAACGAGTGCGTAGAGAGCGGAGGGCGACCGCAGTAAGCACGTAGACATTTGATACAGGCGGAGTCAGCGAGTAACGGTAGGCGAGCGCGCGCGGCGAGGGGCAACGTAAGCGACAAGAGACGAGCGCGCGCGACGAGGAGCGAGCGGCCGCGAACGACGAGGAGCGAGCGAGCTTTTTCCTTATAGCTTTTTCCTTATAGCTCGATCGCCCTCATCGTTCGTGCTCGCTTACTCCTCGCTTGCTCCTCGCCGCGCGCTCGCCTACCGCCACTCACTGACTCCGCCGTATCAAATGTCTACGTGCTTATTGCGGTCGCCCTCCGCTCTCTACGCGTTCGTTAGCTCATATGTTTTAATTAATAACTCGGTAACTATTGCCAACTTGACATTATGGTACATGACTTTTCTTCTTGGCTACACCCAATCTATCTCAAACTTTCGTCTGCATGATAAGATTTCAAACACCCTATATAGATACACTCAAACGCAAAAAACCCGGTACACTAAAAATTTGGGAAAAAATTACAAAATTTCAAATGATCATAAATTGGTAAATAATGAAGATACAAATATGTGCAGAAATGCAAAATGAAGCTTGGAACGTCCTCTTTAAGAATATCTGAATTATGGCAATTATGCTCAGCCATTTTTTTCAAAATCGCGGATGATAAAGTGAGAGGATGCAAAATTGATAATCAAAGGTCCGTGTTTGCGATGGTGCATAGTGTGCATCAGATATCGCAGCGTAATGGGACTAAATGCACATGAAAGTATAGAGTGTTATCTTTAAAATGCTACTTTACCGAGCTCGATGTGATCATTTTTCACTGAGTTGTTCCAAATTTTGCTAAAAATGCGGTTTTCTTGTTAAATTTGCATAATTCAGTGAATAAGTATCGCATCAAGCTCTATAACGAAGTATTTTAAAGAAAACATTCTATACTTTTAGGTACTTTTCGTCCCATTGAGCTGCGACACTTACTTTGCTCCATGCGCCGTCGCACGCTCGAACCTTTTTTTAACAACTTTTCATGTTCTCCTTTTTATCACACGACATTTTGAAAAAGTATCGTTGCGCACAATTTCGATAGATCTTTCGAAAAGTACGGTTTCAAAGCTTTCAAACCGTTTTTGAAATTTGCTGCTAGGATATTTAGGTGTCGAGATATTCAATTTCGAATTTGCAACAAATGTCGATTCAACGAGGCTTAAGGGGCTAAGAGGCTCTGCGGTTCGTTTGGCTCTTTCATAATTTCAATAGCTGTGTTCATGTTTCTCTATATAATAATTTACATTACCAGCACAATATATTCAATGATTTGCATTTATTATTTTGAAAGCCAGGGAAATGAAAGTAAAATTCAATTTAGGTTCTTCATTTTGCGTAATCGATATTACGTAATAAAGATGAATTGCGTTTTAAGATACCGCTGTCATTAGCTCATATTATGGTTGTAAGTCTTCCCAATATAAACCGCATGGAGTTTTACTGGTAGGAAAAGTCCCATTGTATGTAGTGTGTGTGTGTGTGTGTGTGTTTGTATACCACAAGGATAAGGACCCCGTGGTTCGTCAGCTCCACAGTATTTCAAGATTTCACACCCTCCTTGTGGTGTGTGTGTGTGTGTGGTGTTACAGCAGAGATAAGGACCCCGCAGTTCGTCACTCCTGCAGTAATTAATGACTCCAAACCCTACCTGCTGTGTGTGTGGTGTGTGTGTACTAATAGTGGGTATGACTGCCTCGTGCGCGTATTACCTCATTCATACGATCAGGCATACTCCTTATTAGTCTTTTAATTTCATCCTGCGTAATTGTATTCCACTCGTTTTCGAGAATTATTCGCAGTTCTCGCAGTGGCTGAGGAGCAGGTACGTGATTTCGTACTTTCCTGCCGAGGTTGTCCCATAAGTGTTCGATTGGATTTAAATCTGGACTATTTGCTAGCCAATCGAGTCGATTTATGCCAACTTCATCGAAGAAATCAAGCACTCTTCTCGCAGTGTGTGGTCGAGCATTGTCTTGCATAAACAAGAAATTCTCTCCGATGAAGGGTGCGTGCGGAACAACATACGGATTGAGTATGTCTTCCACGTATACATCTGCGTTCATATTCTTGTCAAAAAAGTGCAGATCTGTATGAGCATTAGCTGAAATTCCTGCCCAAATTATTACAGAGCCTCCATTGTAGCTATGCCTCTCACTTACAGTACAGTCTGCAAATCGTTCTCCACCGCGACGATAAACTCGTTCTCGTCCATCTGGAGAATAGATACAAAAACGAGATTCATCGCTAAAGAGTACTTTGCTCCAGTCTGCGTAAGTACAGTCTCTATGCTCAACTGCAAAATTGAGTCGAGCTACGCGATGGTGACATTTAAGCAAAGGTACAACTGCTAGCCTGCGCGAAAGCAGATTTTGTTCCTTTAATCTTCTCCGAACGGTGTTAACGGATACATTAATGTTGCGGACATCCCTTAAATTGTTCCTAATTTGAACAGATGTTCGATGTCTGTCTCTTAACGAATTTGAAACAATAAATCGGTCATCATTGTGATTGGTACATCGAGGACGTCCCGAACCAGGCCTTCTATGGAAAGAATTGGTTTGTAAGTACCTGGCATAAGCACGTTGCACAGTTGACACTGACAAATCAAGTGCCTGAGCAACGTACCTTCGACTTCTGCCATCTTCAATTAAAGCAATAACTTGAGCAGCCTTTTCAGGATTTATCGTCGCCATAATCGACGCAATAATTTCGATGCGAAACAATCAATTATGGTTTAAATTGATGAAGTTGCACGAAGCAACGCGCCTCGAAAGGAAAAGATCACGGAAAAAGAAAAGTCGCACGAGGCAGCGCTTATCGGAGTGAACACGTTCGGAAAAGGAAAATTGTTTGTCTTTGTTTATTGTCTTGGCACATACATTTAAGAAAAATCCAGTCAAGCCAGGCGTTAAAGCCCGGCGCACCGACAGAATCTCAGTCAAGCCAGAACGTAAGCCCGGCGTACTGACAAACTCGCGAAGTCCAGCGTACAAGAGATAGTGCCACTATCGGCGGTGGACCGTACGAAGGTCAAAAGCTGTACGAAGGCAATCTCTGATCGTCTCCGCGGGCACTCTTATATGCCCTGGGCAGCTCGAACTCGCGTGCGAGCCGAGGGGCTCGCGCGCGCGACAACCCAGACCGCCGCGTCGCGGCGGCTCCGTGGACTAGGAGCGCCAGGGAATTTCGACGTTCAGGTGGCGTCCAACGACTCGGCATCCCGCGCGCCGGGTCACCGAGAACTCAGGCGCGATCCTGAACAGCATATTCAAGCTGTGTACCATAATGGCCAATCGTACGGAGAAGATAGAGAGCTAGGGACAGCTTCGCGAACTAAAGTGTATACCACAGTGATCATGCATAACTGAAGGGTAAAGAATGATAACTTTTGATAAAAATTAAATTTCCAATTCGCAAAATTGTGTAAATTATTGTATAGAGAATAATGAACGCGGCTATTGAAATTATGAAAGAGCCAAACGAACCGCAGAGCCTCTTAGCCCCTTAAGCCTTGCTGAATCGACATTTGTTGCAAATTCGAAATTGAATATCTCGACACCTAAATATCCTAGCAGCAAATTTCAAAAACGGTTTGAAAGCTTTGAAACCGTACTTTTCGAAAGATCTATCGAAATTGTGTGCAACGATATTTTTTCAAAATGGCGGGTGATAAAAAGGAGAACATGAAAAGTTGCTAAAAAAAGGTTCGAGCGTGCGACGGCGCATGGAGCAAAGTAAGTGTCGCAGCTCAATGGGACGAAAAGTACCTAAAAGTATAGAATATTTTCTTTAAAATACTTCGTTATAGAGCTTGATGCGATACTTATTCACTGAATTATGTAAATTTAACAAGAAAACCGCATTTTTAGCAAAATTTGGAACAACTCAGTGAAAAATGATCACATCGAGCTCGGTAAAGTAGCATTTTAAAGATAACACTCTATACTTTCATGTGCATTTGGTCCCATTACGCTGCGATACCTGATGCACACCATGCACCATCGCAAACACGGACCTTTGATTATCAATTTTGCATCCTCTCACTTTATCATCCGCGATTTTGAAAAGAATGGCCGAGCATAATTGCCATTCAGATATTCTTAAAGAGGATGTTTCAAGCTTCATTTTGTATTTCTGCGCATATTTGTATCTTCATTATTTACCAAGTTATGATCATTTGAAATTTTGTAATTTTATCCCAAATTTTTAGTGTACCGGGTTTTTTGTGTTTGAGTATATATGATTATGATGATAATATACAGGATGTTTCATTTTAATGAACGCACTTCGATAATTCTTCAACGA